TATTGTAATATAATACATAACAATAATATTATGTCAGATTTCATTTAAATGGTTACAAAAAAATTATCGCATGTTTATACCGCAAGTTCAGGTTGCAGATGCAGTTTTTGCCAGTCAACATTTTATCGTTCCCTTTGATAAACATTGATTATTGATTTTTTTTGTCTAGGTAATCGCATAATTGTTTCGCTTGCAATTAAATTATTCTATCAATGATGAACATAAAAAAAACAGTTCATTCATTCTCTTTTTTTTAATAACGCCAACGTGGCGTTTTTATTTTTTTTTTAATTTAGAGTCGTTATATCATTAAAAATTGTTATTTGTTATAACTTATAAACTAGTAATTAATGATTATAATATGATTATTTAACACTTATCTCATAATTTTGTGCATATTTGTATTGTATTGTATTTAAGTATTTAAAAAAGTTATACTAAGGTATAATCTTTAATTTACAAGTTAATATTAAACATAGTCAGTTTTAAAAACTCTGTACATATTATATACAGGAATTTAATTTTAATTTAATTCTTAAAGTTTATCTAATCATTATGTACATTCAACATTTTAAATAATATGCTTGATTGTAAATTTTATTTGAATACTTTGTAAATTACTCTATATTAATTAGAATATACTGTAGTTTGTTGTAGTTTAATATAAAACTACATTTGTTGACTAAATTTTGTACTTAAATAATAAATACGAATAGTCATCAATATTCCAATAGCTTAAAATAGATAGGCTATTTACCACAGTTGGTAGTAATTATTTATGAGTTATAAAATTGACACGCACTTAACTCAAGTTCCTATGAACCTTTTGGTTAAGATATCAGCCTCCAAACCCCAAATAGTTCATCAAAGGAGAGAGTTGGGTAAATATAAACCTAATATAACTTAATTGATTACTTAATCTATGGTATAACTTTGAGTACTGTTACTGTGATCGTCAGATAGATGTATTTTTTTTTTTATGTTAAATAAATACAAATGCACACCAATTGTTCCATGTTGAAATTTGAAAAAGAAATCATTCATCACTCCGCTTGACGCTTACTATCTAAAACATAATAGTATCAATTATAGTTTTAGATTTAATGATATTTAAATTGAAATAATAATTTATAAGTTTATAACTATGAATAAAGTAATTTTATTCTATTGTATAAAATAGGTATTCAAATACTAGTCCATTGTAAAATATACGTAAGTCTTAAGTACGCTTATCTAATTTAATTCATTGTACTTAGTATGACGTATTATAAGAACAGTTTATCTCAGAAAAATAAAAATTTTGCAATATTTGTTATAAAAAGATAAGTAAACTGATAAATAATAATAATTTTTACAAACATAAATAATTTGAGATAACATTGTAATTCATCTCATATGTGTAGGCAATATAAAATGCTAATATGTATTTTATGTTATCGGTTACAAGGTAAGAAACTAACTAAATTCTTGCAAAAAAAAATAAAAAAAAATATAATTTATGAGATAATATTTAGAAAAATTAATAGTATTTTAATATTCAGTACATTTCAGTTATAAAACTTGTACTGATGGCTCAGTGTTATATAACTAAATATATATTTTTTTAATTTTTTTTGTATATATGAATTGTAAACCTAACAAGAAAAACTATTCTATTTTAGAAATATACATACTTCTAAAATTTCTATAAAATTTCAGTCTACATGGATATTGGTAATTATTTGAATTTACTTATCTTTATTTTGGCTTATATTTTTTTACTAATAAAATTTGCTAATATTTTTTATAATAGGTATGTTGTTAATTTTTATTATACTTATTATAATTTCTGTCTGTCTTTGAAATAGTTATAATATAATATACATATTAGTTCCAATTAAAACCTAACTTAACTGATATTTCTAACGCGTCCATCTTCAAAGTGATTTTATAGTTATTCCCACAGCTGATATTCATCACTTTCAATACGGATTAACGATTGATATTAGAAAAAAAAATTTAATTTAACATTTAATTACAACAATTATTACAAACACAGTGTTAAAAAATAGAAACAGTATATTTATTATTTTTTGGTAAAACCAAAAGAATTATAAGATTATATTATCTTAATTCGAAAAATTCAATATTTTTTGAATGTCAATATATTATATTTGATTTTTGTGTGTTTTTTCATATTTATGTACCTATATAAGCAGTCGATGAAACATTTAAATTTTAAATTTTGAGGATCTTGGATAGAAAATTGGTAAAACAAAAATAAATCAACTTTAAAGAAGTTAGGTTTAATAAAAATTTGCAATACTTTTTTTATAATCGATAAAAACAAAAAAATATATAATAAGAAAAAACTGGAATTTTTACGTTAATATAATTTTTAACAAAATCAATTTTCTTTTCTGTTTATGTGTAACTCAAAAATGAATAACTGCAGACACTTGAAATTTTCACTAAATATTATCATTTTCATTATATGATAACATTTTTTAAAATTTTTAATTAATTTTAAGTTATTTATAAACATGTAATATTTTTAATTTTTTAAAATTTCTTTTCTATAAAGTTGAAAAAATTATTCGTTGGGTTAAAATTCTTTAATTTTAGTACAATATTTCACAAAGTTTTTCTTATATCTACATAAAAATAATAAAAATGCATGGTCATAAATTTAACATACCCAAGACAGTGCAGACCTGTTCGACACCTAATGTACATCATGCAGAGCGATATCCACTTGCTTATATTTTTCACGTTGAATTCGTTCTTGAAATTTATCAATCAATTTGATAGTTGTATTATTCATGAAACATGCTTATAAGTTCTAATTGCTATAGATTTTCAGTTTTGAATATAGTTATTATTTTAATGGATGTATTTAAAAGAGATTTCGCGTTCTTACCTATAATATTACTTATTAGGTATAAAATATATGGAATAGTTTCCGTGTTTTGAACTAAATAATGGCTTTTTATGTAAAATATGATTAATTATACTGTTTATTAGTTATAAAATATACGTGGATAATATATCCGCCATAAAAATACTATATTATTTGTATTATGAATTGTGTAACGAGGGAAATGTCCACATGTAATATATATTGCTTACCGTAGCCTCAAGCTTTGAAAATACACATACCTACCTATTTATTATTACCTACATACTATAATATTATGTTAATAGTGTTAGTAATTATATACAGAACTATTCTTTAAACAGTGGATACCCATTATGTCGGTTAATTTTTGTGATTTTAGATTCTGTGTGGTGCGAGGAATGTTTTACATAGATGTTTTTTTTTTTTTTGTTGTTGTTGTTGTTTTTTTTTTTATTTCATGTCTGTCATCACGTCTGTTATCTTAAAGTAAAATATTTATCATTGAATTTAAATTAACACATCCATATTATTACGGTGAGCTATTCAATAACGATAATGTACCTCCAAAACCTATTGTATAGCAAAATCAAGTTCCTGCAGGCCTTTAATTCTTTAACCATCTGTGACGTAATACTCATAATGTTATTGTATTAACTTTAAATTTTGATTAAACCGTTGTTTTTGTATCTACATATTATATTTGTATAATTTAAAGTTTGGATTAGCTGAAGCGTGCATGCACTCTGAATTTCACGGCGTACCCTTTATCCGTCAAATTCATGCTTAACTCTTGTTCATATACATTAAACGGTTATAAAAATAATAAACTATCATACTTCAATATTTTTTATTTCTACGTCCAAACATTGAAATGTAATTTTCGATGTGCCTAATGTATAAGATATTCTTCAAGCGATTAATAAATATTTTTAATTTATACGCAAAATTTGACCATGATAATGAAGAATGTTAAATGCTAAAATAATCAACCTATTAATATGAAATGCGTGTAAATTGTATTCGTGTACATAAATAAATATATATATACCAGGTGATTCATTTAATGTAAAACACTCGATATTTTAAAAACTATTATTATTTTTAAGAATACATATTTCTTATAATCGTTACAAATTTACGTTTTTGGAAAAAATTATATTTTATATTGATATTATTTGTCAAGTTTTTATTAATTAAAACGACAACGTATATTTTTAAATTCTTATTCCAAATATGAATAATACACCTATTCGAAGTATTTATGTGTATAAAAATCAAATCTCAGGTAAGCAATTAAATGAATAGTAAAACAGATACGAGTGTTTAAAGTTATACTCGTTACTCATTCGTACTTCAAAAAATATTCTTCTTTGTGATGAGAAATTAAAAACGTGTTTTCATTAAAGCAGCGTATACTGCACACCCTTGAAAAAAACTAAAGCGACAAAAGAAATCAAAACATTGTACAGATACGTAACATTTTTAAAAATATCGTTTTGCGATGACTGAAATTTTACGTAGAAATCGTTCAAATCGTACAGGTTAGGTTAGGCGTACCGCGTTGGAAATTTAGACCTCGAACTACACTCATGACACATCACTTCGTCGGGTTAGACTCGACGACGGCAGTAATTTATGATCCGGACGACTGTCAGACGACGAGTGTCGGGAAAAAAACATTTCGCGGCAGTGGTTCGACCGTCTCGGGGATTCGCGCGGGACACTTTCTACTGCAATATACGCGTGCAATAATTTAGACGTCGAAACAATATCGTGTGAGTATAATGCGACTGACCGCAGGAACCGTGTGCCCGGCCGATAGCTCGCGGCCGGTGGTAGACGTTTGCGAGTCCAAAAATCGAAACGCGCCGAGAGGGAAAAAAAACCGTTTCTTCCTTCCCCGACAACAACCGGTTGCGCGGCGCCCTATAATCAATAACCAATAGGTAACGTTACACGAAAATGGCGGCGCGATCGCATTGAAATGATAATGATGATGATGATGATAATAATAATAATAATAATATAAAAGTAATAATAAATAATAATAATAATAATAATATAATCTACCGCGCGACGGTGGGTGGGGGGAACGAGTGCTCGCGCGCGTCTCCCGAGTGTCGACACGCACGTCCGTGCAGTCCGGCGTAGGTACATCGCGCCAATCGTCGTACCACCGCGCGCAACATCGGGCACCGCCGACGCGACCATGTCGTTTTAAACAGCTCAGATCCGCCGTGTCGAGGAAGACAGAAAAATCGAAAATCAAAAAAAAAAAAAAAACCGCGATAGACACGTCCTACCGCCGTCTCCGCATATTATTATAACAAACAATACAACGTACGTAATACACGTATTTATAACGACGTGCGTTGTACCCGAAGAGCACAACCCCGGGAGACGCCATGTCCGCGGTCGCCGGACGAATGAATCGGATCGTCGAACCGGCGGGGGTGCCGACCGTCTAGCCGAGACGATATAAATTTTTGACGGCGATCGCGATCCCGGTCGAAACCATCGACGTCGACGTCGCGTGCGCGTATAACAATAATAATATAATATAATATACGCCTACAACCGCCATGTCTGCCGGACTCAAACGGAACATCAACAACAACGTGGTCGACACCACCGCCGACCGGAAATGGAGCCCGGAAGTGCACACGAAAATATTCATACCGCCCATTAGCGTCACGGAACCCCGAGCGAAAATCGCCAAAGGTAGGACTGAGTGCTAGAGAATCCGATGACCCCGATCGTCTGCAACTGCAGCGGTGCATTCGTGTGTCTATCGCGATATCTTACGTACATATTATTATGTTTACATATCGATGTCCACTTGACGGATTGTCGCTGTTATTACTGTTTGGATTTTCTAATCGACGCTGTTAGTTTTTTCCTGTTTATTTCATTTCCCCGTCGACTGTTTTCGCTAATCGTTAAGATAAGCGGTATTGAGTACCTATTCGTAAGTTTATGACCACGAAATAATTTCGTTACGTCGTTTTGTATAGCGTTATATCGTGATTTGTGATACATCGCGCACCACCACACGCATAATATGACATATAGTTGGTATACTCATCAAGTAATAATATAATATAATATCGTAATACGTTCATTGTTGGGCCTAGGTTACGTATATTTTAGTTCAATGAACTGTTTTATAAAATTTATTTTAAAAGTAAAATCGTGTTTGAATTTACAGTTCATTCACATACAACGTTTTGACGTAGAACAGTGATTGACTGGTGTTTCATTATAAACAGAAAATAACGTAGTTTTTTTTCGGTTAACAATAGTTAATAATATGCACGTAACAATAAATACAATTATTTAGTTAAGCTGTTTTTAGTGGACTACAAATAAAGCCTATTTTGATTCTCAATTAACCCTCGAGATGGGGGCATCAATAAACATTTTCTTCTGTCTTACATATATAAAATATATTAAAAGCCTTTCCTTGTATTTCACTCAAAATGATTACATTATTGAAATTTACCTTTATTATAAAAATTAATATTATCTGTATTTTATTAAACGTTTTTATTATTATTTAAATTTTTAAAGATGATTGCATTTTTTTTTTTTTAGTTATTAATAACTAGAAAGGAATTATTAATAAATTATCAAAAATAATTATTTGTAACTTAAATACCTAAAAATAAATATACTTATTTAAAAAAAAATCTTCTGACAAAACACGATAAAACATTTCTTTGTAATACATTCTTTTAATAGGTTATAACCCAATACAATATACCTTAATTTTTACAATGTCATCTCAATGAATGAAAAACGGTAAAACTATTACACAGAGATATTAACCATGCAACATATTATGTGTAATACAGAGAAAAAAATTAAATTGTGTGCCCTCTTATACGATATTCAAATTTGTTGGTAATTAAAATAATGTATCTAATCTTAATGAAATAATACAAATTACTTTAGGTTAGGTTAACTATAGGTAATAAATTATTTAGATATACTTTAGTAATTATTTGTTATGGACAAATACTTTATGTTTAATATTATTTTTTTTTTACTTGTTTACACATTGATTTTTTTTTTTTTTTTTTGTACAAATATATTTCTAAATCATTTTATAACAGTAAAGTACTTATAAATTTAATTAAATTTAATACTCTTTATTCGTCATCTAAAATTTAAAATATCTATATTCGGTTTGTAGATGCATAAAAACACTTACGAACTATTGTCTATAAACATCATTTGATTATTCCATACATATGCGACAGTCGATTATAGTGAAATGTATACGAATGTAGTAAATAAATATGTGTATGAGAAAATAATTTCCAATTAAAAAATTGTGTCCATATATTTAAAGAATAAAGTTGTAAAATTAAGTATAGATATTTTATTATTTAATTCTATATAGTGTATTATATAATTAAAATTTATATTTATAGAACTCAATATTAAATTTATCAAACGTAGGTACCACCTATAAAATTAAATATAATTTGAAATATTACGAAGCGTAATGAATCGCAATTATGAATTCATTAAAACTTTAGTTTTTTAAGTATATTTGAGAACCATATTTTCTAAACTTTAGATTTTTGATATAATTTAATAAATATTTGATGATTATATCACAGCTACCATTTTCGATTTAAATTGTTAAAGAGAAATTTTTTTTGAAAATGTTAATGTATACAAATCGAAATTTGAACAAATAATTTCTGAGTTATAAAACTTGAAGTACTAAGGATATTAAATTTGTCTACGATAACAGGTTTAAAAGATATGAAGGCTATGGTAATTTAAAAGTTATAAGTACTTGTATAATGATAATTAATCAATATTATTTTTTACTATTTTATAATTTGCAAAGATTATTCGATTATAATAAAACTAAAAGCCTATGAATTTAAATACATATTTTTTTTAAGTATATCAACCTAAAAATTCCAAAAACTAGAATTTTAATAAATGCATTTTTAAATTGTTAAGTGGGATAAGCGTGCTAGATGGAACACTCTTAGTAAATTTCATCGTAATAAAGTTCTGACGGCAAATGTTTTACATACATAATATATCAACACATACCTTGGTGTCAAAGTTTTCAAAAAAAAATGTTACCAATTTTCTATTATAAATAAAAATACACAGTCCTTAACTAGAAGTTACTTGTGGTTCACGCAAAAAATACCAAAGATATGGTTGAACGAGCACGATTTTTGTATATCACACATTCCTTTGGTTTTTACATCTATCGGTTATAGAACGAAAAAACGGCACTCAACGTGGTATGATTATTAGGTATACTCGTAATGAGTATAATTCGATATTGATGCACTAACGCCCCTCTTATGATACATCGAATGCAAATACTTCGTACCTTAAATATCTAACGTGGGCACATACTCATGTAGACAGAAATCGGTTAAAATTATTTTATTTTTTGTAGTGAGAGAGAAGAGGGATTTCTTACGATTTAAAATACCTACATAATACGATTTTTGGTCCAATAAGTTTCAAAACGACGATAATTTTTAATTATTTTGTATCTACTTAAAAAATCATAAAATATTAAATTTAAATACCTATGACTTTTATTAGTTCTATCAACCAATTTCTATATTAGATTTTTTATATGTATTACAATAGTCTATTCTTAGAGTATGTTGAAAAGAGTGGTCGTAATTTGTGTTTACATCAAAAATTGTTTAAGAAAAATAAGAAATTATTTTTTAGTCAAAAAATATTTATTGAAATATTTATTCCTGACATTTTTGTTATAAATCTACCGGCTTATCCCATTTTCTACGGACAAAATTCGAAAATTTCAAGTATTACAATTATTTACAAATTATTTAAGGAAGGAGGCTAAGTAACCTAACCTCAATTTCTTCTAATTGGTATACCGATTACCTACCGTTTACAAACGATGTCTAACCATTTCAAAGCATTCAATTCTTTATACAGTTCGCCATGGCATTCAAATCAACCCGCGAGATATTAAAGCATTAATTTGAGGTACTGAGTCGCCCAACTATTATGATAATATCTATATGAATCTCTTATTTAGGACTTAGGTATCATAGTCTTGCATGACCATCATTATCAATAAAAAAAAAAAAAATTGGTTTAAATAAATTTGGATATATTACTATTACACCTGTAGTTTTCAGCATTCAGCAATAAAGCATACGCTTTTTATTATGTATTTTTTGGAATAGATTGTTATTGGTTATTCAACTGTTTAGCGAGAGAACGTACTGCGATCTAACGCAAATCGGTTCTTCTGTGCATCCTCACGCGACACTTTGCCATCTTAGTGGATAGAACCGATTTCGACGACTTGGTGTCGCGTGAGGATCCACAGAATTTACGTGTTTTATCGACGGGCACGACGGACAGAGTGTATATTATTAATTATAATAACGAAAATAACGATCGCATGACGTTATATGCGTAGTATGTTTATAATATTGGGTTTTCCAACAGGAGTCGGCGCCGCGACGGCTCAACAAGAGCCGCAACGGAAGTACGTGACGACGGCGGTCGGCAGCAGCGGAAGCGACAGCAGCGATGGTGGATGTGCGAGTGGTGGCGTGGAAAAGGGCCGCCGGTATCCGGTGTCGCGGAGCGGTTCATACCGTAACCAGCCGTTGTCGCCCATGTCGACCGGGGCGCTATCGCCCAGCCTCCGGTCGCTCGGCGTGCCGAGCTCACCAACCCTAGCCGCAATGAACGCGTCGTCGCACCACCGACATCGAGACGCATCGCCGCTCCGGTCCAGATCGGACGCCGTGTCCGTCCGGTCACTGGCGTCCATCGGCATGGGCTCGACGGACGGCCGGAAGCTGACCATTGCCAAAGTGCCCACGTCGCCGGCGGAACTGCTCAACTTGGCCAGCCCTCAAACGTAATATATACAATTAAACCTTTTTACTTATTAACATTTTAATCTCTCTCTGTCAAACTAAGGATTATAACACGCACGCGGGGTAAATAATACGTAATATTAACCTAACCATTTACGTTGAAATAACTGAGATGCAGCTTAAAGTTTCATTATAACATTAAATACCCTCAAAAAACGAAAATTAATTCGCGTGCGGTTAAATTTTATATTTTCAAACCTATAAGTTAAGACCCTCGAATTAGTATTAAGAAGTGTCTTGTAAATTAAACAATTTCTTATGATATAAATTTTTATTTATACAAATATTTGTCATAAAAATTGTTTGAAATTATATGAAATTTTGAAAATTTGACAACTATTGGCGTCAACATCCGAAAACGAAATACATAGAACCTATAAGACACGCATACTTTATACATAATTCTAAGTTTTAACTATTTCTAAAAACTTCAAAAATTTTATTTTGATTATAATCGTTATAAGTGGAAACTTATTTTTGTAGTTTATTCTTGTTTTTAAGAATACAAATGACAAAACATTCTTTGATTTGGTTTGTCATCACTTGGTCGATTCGTATAAAAAGCGTAATACATATTGATGTGTATCTACCCAATTTACTCACAAAAATATCAAAAAATTGTTACGTCACAGAACGGATCCTCGGTTTCCCCACCCCTAGGTCCTATCCTGACATTGACAGTCTCTCTATCTGTTTTTATCATAATAATTACTTGATTTTTTCTTCCGTTATTATAATATTATTATTTATACAACGGCTTTCGTGTGGGCACGTGTCGATATTTGCGAGTCTCACGTACGCCCATTACAATAACGTCCAGGACCAGCCCTGGGCACGACAACCGGCCGGCAGTAATTATTACGCGTATTGAAATTATTTCGCCAACCAGTTTTATTTATTTTTTTGCTCTGATCTTATGCGTCGAGTACCTACTTAACGCGATCGGTCGACATAATTACTATGCAGGGAAAAATGAAATAAAATCATAGATGTGAAAAAATGTTACACCACTAATACTATAATAATATAATACATTAGTTATTAGTATAAAATTATAATAAATCGAGTACAGGCAGACTCGTACCAATAGTAATTATTAATTATACGTTATGATAAATCGTCGAAAATGTTTTTGGTTTGTGTCCGTTATTATATATTATGCTGAAATGGACCAATGCGCGATTTTCGCCACGTTCAATTACGTATGCCAATATTTTAGATTATTATTATTATCATTATTTATAATTATACAAAGACTTGCGCGTTTACAGTTACCGCTGCGGTATAATGTCCATTATTCGGCGTGTGTGCAAATAATTTATTACATAGCCGGCACTAAGACATTAAGAGGACGCCACACCCGCATGTGTTATCTCCGTCTTACATACATACCTACAACGTAGCAAATTTTCGTTCGGCTGAATCCATTTTATGTTTTTAGCTTTAATATTAGAGTAAAATTACCTACTTATTACTATCAAACTTAAAAATAAGAATTTTATCTAGGCCATCACATATAGACTTTTATTAATATAATAATTTTAAAGTGAGTACATATGAGCATTTTAAAGTTTTTATATTTTATATAGCTATAACTCAGTTTAAAATCAAAATATCAATAAAAGTCTTTAAGATGGCCTAGATAAAATTCTTACCTTTAAGTTTAATAATAAGCAAAGTTACTCTAATAGTCTAATATTAAAGCTAAGAACCAAAAATGGATTCTGCTGAACGAAAACTGCTATGTTGCATGTATGTAAGAAGGAGATAACACATTCAGATGTGGCGTCCTCTTGAGTACAGTGACTGTATGTCTGTATACGAAAATAAATCTATTATGCCTGAAATTGGTGTATCAATTCATTCGAAATTAACTTTTATCGTCTAAATTAGAAAATATGTCTTCGTAATATTATCTCGAATAGACGCTAGGTACCCCTATGTGAAAAAATGTTACATAGTTATTTTGTATAGCTGGTGTAGATTCGTATTACGCGTATTGAATAAAAAACTCAACGAAAAACCTATAAGACTGGTGATAAAAATATGACTATATAGGTTAGTTTATACCTATAGTATAATATATATGAAAATAAAAAAATTAATTACGATTATAATACAATTAATATTATGACAATTATTGTGGTGTTATACTCAATACATGAGTAGTTCTCTATCGCGATGCTCAGTACTGCGTATGTTTTATACAAGGTAAATAATTCTAAAGATCATAGTATTTAATAAACCTATATGGTTATAAATATAATATGAAACCTACACCTGTTGTTGTTTCATTTAAACTGTGTAATTTAGTTTTAAATAAACGAAAACAGAATTTGTTTATAATGTGTGCTTAAATTAAAAATAGAATCGATATACAGTAAAAGCCGCTTATTAGAAACACTTTGGGACCAAGGTGAATTGTGTCAATTAACCGATTGTTTCCAATAAGCGATTGAAAAAAAAAAATGAATAATAGGTAGGTACGCGAAAAAAATATGCATTTATGTATGTACCTATATTGTATAATTTAAAAAAGTATGCACAAATGTGTATATTTTACGATATTATTTAAAATATTTATCAATCGTAATTTGTTTTTTTGCATCGAGTAACTCCATGACCATATTTTCATACGAGTAATATTGCCCCTTTGGCTTTGTCACTTATTTTGAGTGCGTATGTGTGTTCAGGTAGAGCTTTAAAATAAATCCCAGTCTTGTCTGCATTAAAAATATCAGAGGGTGTGTATTGGGCTAGCAAATCGGTCTGATGAGTTTTAAACCATAATTGGTCGCATGAAAATTGGCTAAAATATTAGCGTTTAGACATTTTTAGATTTTTAGAAAAAGGAAACACTAATAATCTTTACTTACGCACGTTAAAGCTAAACTACAAATGGTACGACCGGTAAGTACAAAAAGAGCATTCTCACAATTAATTACAGTAAAAATAAACGTAACGACAGCAAAGATAAGATTGAAGTACATTGGTTATCGCCGGATAATCGGTGTATATGTCAACTGACCTTTTCCCAATTGTTTCAAATAACCGATGTGATGTTTCAATAATCTGATTTATTTTCAATGTTCTAATATACGTCCGATCCGTCCCGAGACATTTTGTTTCAATAACACGATTGTATCAATTATCCGTGTTTCTAATAAGCGGCTTCTACTGTATTTGAAATTTTTTTTAAAAAAATTGATTATTAATTATAATAATATTTATTCAATTTATTTAAAAATAATTTAAACATTTCAAATTTTCACATTTTTCCAAGAAATTTTGAATAAGATGAACATAATATTGAATTATACTGAAAATTTAACTTTTGTACATGTATGTATACATTTACTAACACGCAAATTTTGTTAGTTCAACAAATTTTGTTATTAATAACTTTATTACGTGTTTGAATCAGTTCTTAAATTTAACTGAAATAGATCATAGGAACAGCAACGAGTCCTAGGTTTAATAATTCTAAAGCACTTATTATATCATAACCTAATAATTCTTCTACGATAAATCGAGATGTGATTTTAGTTGTATTTTGCCATCTAATAAATTCTTATATCCTCATGCGTATTGAAATTAAGCATACAAATGTTAAAATAATGATAATAAATTTACATTTTTAGATTGGTTAATAAAGTGTTGGAATGTTTTATTTCCGTCGTCTTTTTTTTTCATAATAATTTAAATAAACTATTGAAATTCTATAAATCTTTATAATCTCAAATAAATATTATTTAAATATGTTTCATGACTATTAGTAACTAGACTATATAATATAGATTATTTAATTTATTTAGATACTTTTGGTTAAAATATTGTCTGTTTTATTGTTGAAAAATATTCAATATAATGATAATATAGGCTGTTGAATATTTACCAACTAGATATGAATAGGACGTATTAAAGTATCATAGGTCATTTTGTAACAATACTACAACTATTGTTCGTAAAAAAAAAAAAACTATTAATATTATTATGATAACAAAACGCCGAGTTTTAAGCATTCCTAAAAATAGGAAAAATAAAAATTTCAATAAAAATTTTACCCATTGCTATATTTTTAGTTCTTATATAATGAATATTATGCATGTTTGTTTACTATAAAAATTACTATTACTGCCGTTACCAGTACATTGTTAATATAACTCCCACAAATTAGTACTTTTGAACACTCGTATTATGTATATGATATTTTTGTAGTCATAAAACATATAATAACTACCAGTAAAATGTAATAATAAACCTTATATATTATATTATTTTCAAATTATAAACATTTAATACGCACATGTACAAGTGCTCCGACCATAGACTCTAATAGATTGATCGGAAACATACGTGCGAAATACACCTACGTATAAACGATATTCACCGTACCTGTTTCGTAGATAATTGATAGACAAATATTCAGATGTACATACGAGAATTATTAATAAGTAAAATGTTAGGAAGGTGGGAAAAATATAAATGTCTCAAAACGTGTGATATATTATAAAAGTTTGATATTATTTCAACATATTCAATAAATTATTACTTCATAATATTTTTTACAGAGAAGGCCTCTTATCTTGCCCTCTTCCCGATAATTATAAGATATCTTATAGCAGTATTAATAAATTAAAAATAGCATTTAGTATAATTTTGTTCTAATGTTTATCTCTAAAATTTGGTTTACTTCACCTGAAAATGTAATCAAGTTACAGTTCTGTGTAGCCCCCAAATCCCAATCAGTAACCGTGGATTTTGATAGAAAACAAAAAACGGAAAAGCATTTTAGTAAGTTGATACACGCGTTTTCAAAAGAAAAATATATACCTATTTACATGTAAAATCTTTTATCCCACGCTCCCCTTCGATACAGCTGATAATAATACCGATTTTACTATACGAGCTAATTCGAATGATTTGTACACACATTATAACCGTATACTTTTATTGCCACTGTGTTGTCATTTTTTATTTA